AAATCATGATGAACAATTTGCTTATGTAAAATATTCCTTTCTCTCTGATTAACATTGAAATGACTCGTACTAATATTATCATTATTTTACCACGTCATTTATTTACCCTCTCTTATACCTACTTTATGTAACCGTTTCGACTCAGAGAGCAGCTCGCCTATGGTGAAAATTCAGCTTTATCTAAACGTTCTCGAGTCACTGCCTGGTTGAAAATTGTATGTTACCACCGAATATGAGTACTGAAGCAGTTTTTCTGAAACCACGTGCACCATTCAAACTGGCTGCCTTCAACGTTCGCACACTTATGCAGGTCGGACAACAGATAGGGCTGTCTGTCTTTGGAAAGTCTTAATATTGATGTGTGTTGTCTATCCGAGACCCGTATTCAAGACACTGGTGAAGTACTACATGTTCGCTCTCCATCTGTCGCTTCAAAAAGCTTGTTTTATGTGCGTTTATCCGGGGACCCTGTGGCATCTTCGTCTGGTCTTGCTGGCGTTGGTGTCGCACTAAGCGCTAGAGCTGAGGCAACACTAGTCGACTGGATCCCCATTAACAGTCGATTATGTGCTGTTAGATTAGAAAGTTCGATCAAAGTGAGAAGAAATCGGCGTGAGAAACGATGTCTTTTCGTCATCTCCGCCTATGCCCCGACAGATTGCAGCCCGGATGCAATCAAGGATGAGATCTGCCACCAGTTAACTGTTCTTCTCCAGAAAGTGCGTTCGACAGATATTGTAGTACTAGCTGGAGACTTGAATGCTAAGGTCGGGCGTCTAGGCACAGAACAGATTCGTTTAGGTGGCCGATGGGGACTCGTTGGTCGCAGGACAGATAACGGGGAACGTCTGCTGCAACTATGCACAGACCACAACCTGTTTCTGGCTAGCACTAAATTTCGGCACAGTCAACGCCGATGTGCCACCTGGCGTCCTCCTTCTACATCTCAAGCCTGGATACAGATTGATCACATCGCGATCAGCTACCGCTGGCGTGGTTGTGAACAAGACTGCCGCTCCTTTTGAAGTACCTATCTGGAATCTGATCATGCCCTGGTCTGCGCCAATCTTACCTTACTTTTCAGTGGACAACGAAGTGACCGCCACCAAAGGATTGATGTTAGCAAGCTGGCTGCAACTTCTGTTGCTAGTAAGTACCGAACCGAGCTAGCTTCTAGGCTAGCTACCATTCCACCGAAAAGTATAGATGAGCATTGTTTGCAATTGTATGACGCCATGAAAATGGCGGATACAGTCTGTTGTGGGTTTGCGAAACGTCCAACTTACAAGCACTGGGTTTCTTCTGGTTCCTTACAACTGATTGAAGCCCGTCGGTCTACTCCGGGTGACCGTGAGTTTGACCACAGACGAAGGATGTTACGTAATGAAATCGGGCAAAGCTTGCGTAAGGACCGAGAAGCCTGGTGGTCGGAGCGTGCCAGTGAGTTGGAAGCAGCAGCTGCATCTGGTAATTACCGGAAGCCCTTCCAACTCATCCGAGCCACTGGCAGCAAGAAGTCTGGTGTGAGCGAAACAATCTGCGAGGATGACGGAACGCCAATCACTAACATCCATCGGCGTCTTGGACGATGGGCAGAATTCTTTGAAGGGTAGTTCAACTAGCCTGCTGCTCCGACGACATCGGTCAGACTGTCCTGCCCTCCATGGTCGGTGACGACTGATCCACCAAATGAGGCGGAAGTCCGCAAGGAACTCCAACTCTTGAAACGTTACAAATCACCGGGCCCAGAAGACTTACCTATGGCTCTTTTTAAAGATGGTGGTGACTTTCTGACTAAGGGACTGACGACGTTGTTTACAAAGGTCTGGGAACTAGAGAGTGTACCAACGTCATGGAATGAGTCGATAGTTGTCCCTATCTTTAAAAAGGGTTCAAATTGTTCCTGTAACAACTATCGGGGGATAAGTCTACTTTCGATTGCGTCCAAGCTATTGGCTTCCGTCATACTTCGTAGGTTGTTCAGAATCCGAGAAGGATTGACTCGCGAGGAGCAGGCTGGGTTTCGTTCTGGTCGAGGATGTATTGATCATATCTTCACCCTCCGCCAAGTGTTAGAACACCGCCATACTTATCAAAGGCCAACAATCGTAGTGTTTCTTGATATCAGGGCTGCCTTCGATTCGTTGGACAGAACTGTTCTCTGGGATGGTCTATTGAAGAAGGGTGTGCCTGAGAAGTTTATTAACATCCTAAAAGCCCTATACACAAACACCTCAGGCAGAGTGAGGGCATACAACCACCTTTCTCCACTATTCCTTTCGAGCAGGGTTGCCCAATCTCACCATTCCTCTTCAACTTTGCCATCGATGACATTCTGGAAACAGCTCTGACGGATGTAAGTAATGGTGGTGTGGATCTGTTGCCTGGAGAAAGACTTCTCGACCTTGAGTATGCGGATGATATTGTCTTACTGTGCGAGAATGCCCAAGCCATGCAATCCGCACTTAATCAGTTGGCAATCAGTGTCCGTAGGTATGGTATGTGCTTTGCACCTTCGAAGTGCAAAGTACTTCTACAAGACTGGCAGGATTCTAATCCTGTACTCACTCTGAATGGTGAGCAGATAGAAGTAGTCGAGAAGTTCGTGTATCTAGGTAGCTGCATAAGTGCTGGTGGTGGCGTGAGTGATGAAATCAATGCACGTATAGTGAAAGCCAAAGGTACTTATGCCAATCTGTGCCACCTTTGTGATGTTAGTCTGGCTGTAAAAGGTCGCATCTACAACGCGACGGTGAGAGCAGTTTTGCTCTATGCTTGTGAAACCTGGCCTCTCCGAGCTGAGGATGTTAGACGACTCTCTGTGTTTGATCATCGTTGTCTCCGAAGGATTGCTGGCATCCAGTGGCAACACTATGTCAGTAATGCAGAGGTCCGGCATCGTGTGTTCGGTCACAGAGACGATAATTCCATTGGTGTCACCATCTTGAAACACCGGCTTCGGTGGCTTGGACATGTTCTACGAATGTCGTCCCAGAGAATTCCTCGTCGTGCCTTACTTGCCGACGCTGGGACTGGTTGGAAAAAGCGGAGAGGTGGTCAGTATATGACATGGTGTCGTGGTATGAAAGAAAGCTGCAACGGGCTGGCTTGTGTTGGTTCTTCACGACTAACTGGCTGGGGTCCGAGAGACGGTGTAACGCAGTGGCTAGAGACGTTATCAGATATGGCTCAGAATAGAAGCGAATGGCGATCCTGCTGTAACCTTCTACATAAAAAGTGGTTGTATCTTCCTTAACTGAAAGATTTCTTGTGATTTTACCTTTCCGTTTTCCCTATCATTGTTCTCTTCCTCTTTTTTTTATAATTCCCCACGTTCATTACTTTATATATATATATATATATATATATATATATATATATATATATATATATACATTCTCCTTCTCTTCATTGTTTTGTTTGGCGCATATATATTTGGTGCCCACCTGTACCAATATTTATGTGTTCAAATAAATAAACAATCGCTAGCCTTAAATCTTTTTAGAAGAGCTAACAAGATAATCACATCAAAGGAAGACAAACAAAAAGAACAAATGAATATAATTAGCATCTTACAATTTAATAATTTTCCTTTGAATATTATTAGAAGCATATTAAAACAAAACAGTTCATTACGTTATAATAATGATTCGAATGAAATACCATGGATTGGTACTGCAGTTTTAGCATACCGTCATGGCACAACAGAAGAAATCCAAAGAATCTTGAAAAAACACAGAATTAAAGTATACTACAAAACAACGAACACACTACGTAATACTTTAGTTCACCTAAAAGACAAAATCCCCTTCATGTACACACAGAACTGCGTCTACAAATTAGGTTGTATCGATTGTGATGCCTATTATATTGGAGTCATCCCGCGAAATCTTGACTAGAGCCAAAGAACATATTAGGCACACAAAGAAACCGCCTAACAATCCTGTAGAATTGAACCAACTTCAGGTTAAATTGGCAATAGCAGTTCATGCCATTTTCAACAACCACCAAATCGATTTTAAAAATATCAAAATATTGCAAAAAGGCTTTTCCAACTACAAAGAAATAAGGGTAGCTGAGGCGTTCCATATAATGCTTAATCCTACTTCTCTCAACAGAAAGGAAGGCCTTACCATACATCCTACTTGGACCATTTATCCTAGCCACTCAGTCTGATCATATTTATAAATTCACACTATCATATTACAAATTTAAACTGTATCCCATCTTACCATAAAGGTCACACAATTTTTCATTCTTAAACAATGCACACATACATACACATGCAAATTCACATACATATCACTTATCAATCACCTTGACAAAAATGACATGACATCAACTTGTTCATATCTGTTTTTTGATTGATCAAATATTATTCTTGTATTGCTCCGTTGTACTATTTAATTTGGTTATTTATTCTCTGAAGAAGTGACTTACACTAAGCCACGAAACGTCAGATAATCTAATTTTCTACTCATTGGGATATTACAAATATCTTATTTATTTATAACGTAAAGTCTAGTTTAACAATGATTCCAGGTTTTTCGTACTGGTCAACACGCCATTGGTTTGGTACAGTACTAAGATTGTATAAATCGTGTTCTGATCGGGGAACTTATCGTGTGAGAATTGACAGGCGACACATCATAACAACTAGTAGCGAATTATTCTCAAAGGATGGACTTTGTTATATGTGATACCCGATACTTCTAACAAAAGATCTTTGACATCTAGTATTTTGGGAGGAAGATGACTAATATTCAAAGTAATTCTTAAATCAAGAAGTTGCTAAGTTGCATAATATATGAAAAAGAGAAGGAACTTAGCAACTTCTTGATTTAAGAATTACTTTGAATATTAATCATCTTCCTCCCAAAATACTAGATGTTAATTTAAATGTCATTATGTAATTATTACGTAACTTATCCACTTAATGAGTATTATATCATTATTGTAAAAGATCTTTGAGTAAAAGGTAACTAATGAATAACTTAGGACTCGAAAGGTGTGTTGGAAATTAGTTTGTTTTCTTAAATAAGGGAAAAAACAAAAAAGAGAAACTTCCGAAAACTGTACAATGCGTCAAAGAAAGATCAACCCACAAACTAATAAAAGACCCAGCTTAGTAGATGAAATTAATGTACTCTCCATTTTACGCACATAAGATAATTCCGGCGTGAAAGTGCTGGTGGATGAGGATTAAGAAGATTGGACTTTTAGAAATGAAAGGTAAGAGAAAAATTTTAATTACTTGACAATAATGGTTAAATAGTTATAAACCACCGTAGATTATTGCCAATATGGTTAAATCTTCACCAAATATAAAATATTCAACAAACCATCTACTGTAAACCAATACAGTGAAGTGCACAAATATGACAGCCGAAACCACAAAATTAACCAGTCACTAGGTATTTTTAATAACCTATGACTGCAAATGATTTGAAGTGCAGTTGACAATATAACTTAATTATAAGTAAAAGATAGGAGAAACAAGAAAAACTAACGAATAGTCATAAAAGCACGACCTTCGCGACTCACAAAAGGCGCTAAAGTGTCTAAGCCACGACATTCCACAGGACTATGAAGTCGGATGGCACGCAGATGTGTGTCGCGACCATTCTGATGGTTAGCTGAAATGGCAATCTGTAAAAGAAAGGTTCGTAACGGAGATCCATCAGGCCATTTTAGTGGAATCACCGACCACCCAGTAGGTTCCTGTAGTTCCACCTCTAAAAGTTCGATAAGATCGTGTATAGTATTCCCAACTCGTATGGCCAACCTGGAAAAGGAAATTAAAAAATCGACAATGTAGTTAGTAAAGATAAGATTCATTATTATATCTTATCAATAGTAATAATAAGATAAAGGTAAAAACGGACCATAAAGTGTAACGATAAACAACTAACAGAAAAGCTATAATGAACGAACACTCAAGTGGAGACAACCAATTTATTATTTCATATGAATTGCAGAAGGTCCTCGTAAAATATGAAAACCATACACTAAGTGTTTCATTTGTAAATCCTCCGTCAATTATCCTTTACATTCCCTCTGATTCATCCAATTCACAGTTCCTTTCTATTTCCCTTTCTGTTTTTTTCAATTCAATCTTCTTAACCTTCTGCTGCCAGTCCTCCAACTTTTGATTGGTATTACATACTTCTTATGTCGACAGAAATAAGTAGCATATACCACATATTGAGTGTGGTAAGGAAGATATTAGGATCGCAGTAATGCTACGTTGACGAAAGCAAGCTCAAGAGGAACAAACGTCCTGGGCTCTGATAGAAGAAGATAAAGCATGTTCCCTTTTATTCACAGTTTCCTGGTTGAGTCGAATATCTAATGCATTACGGTTATAGTTTTTACCAGGGTTCTGATACACTAATTATAGCCTATCACCATAAAGTTGAGTTAGAGTTAATGCGAACAACCTGAATTGAGATGTAGATATATCCACCTGAAGACCCCTGAATACCCAAATATTGATATCTGAATCTAAGTTATTTAAAATCCTGGTTAAATACACTGTTTACAAATTATTGAGACCGAATATAATTTCTCACCTAGTGTTATTACATGCACAAAATCCGGTAGCCAATGAATCCTCTGATAAACTGTTAGGAAGTTATTTGAGTGCGATATAGGCTCAAATATCTGTTTTTATTTTTTTGTTAATTTTAGTGACGTATAGAACTTATCTACTACATTCCCTACAATACTTATTGTCGTGAATTATAATGCTTACGATTAATATTATGAACTAGTACATTCACAAAAAAAAGATTGTGTGAGATCATATTTTACTTTAAACACTGACCTACTAGGTGTATAACTTTCATCAACTTTGTAATCAGTGTATAAACATAATTTTGAAAGAACCATTTTTCGGGGAAATTGTATATTAACACAATGTGGTTGTGGACCATCCGATTGCCAAAATGTATCAGTAGATTCATTCAACAATTGGTCGATACCATGACCTGGTTTACATGAAGAAAGACTCCAAACAGCATGATCACATACATCACGAACCTTGTGAAATTGAGAAATAATTTTATGAGTAAGCTACTGATAATCAAAATAAAGTAGTTATTAAAGTAATACGTCATAATAATTGACAACTACAGAAGGAGTTTTGTGGTGAGTGTACTAATTTTAATAGTTGACATCATGAGTCAATTGAAGCTACACCACCATGGAAAACCTGGAGGTGGGGTCGTGGATGCGTACTACTGAGGAGTCCCACAATAGAACGAAACGACCGCCTCCAGGTTTTCCATGATGGTCTAACTTCAATAACTACAGAAGTAACATAACAAGCGCAACCACTTCAGAGCTTTTACAAACCTTTAATTTTTCACTCACCAAAACACTTGTTTTAGTTACCAAATATTTCTTATCACAGGTAAAAAAAGACAACACGAACATCATGACAATTCTAATGTACGAAGCTGAAACTATGAGGACTACCACAACCATAATCTAAAAGTACAAGTAATTATAAACAGTTGTCTACGCAAGATACCCCAAATCCGTTGACCAGATATCATTAGCAACAACCTACTGTGGGAGTGAACAAACCAACTTCCAGATGAAGAGGAAATTGAGAAATGACGCTGGAAGTGTATAGGACATACATTGCGGAAATCACCAAACTACGTAACGAGGCAAGCTCTAACTTGGAATACTGAAGGGAAAAGGAAAAGTGGAAGCTTAAGGAACACATTACGTCAAGAATCAGAGGTAGACAACAAAGGAATGAACAGTGATTGAAATCAACTGGAAAGAAGAGCCCAGGATAGAGTTGGTTGGGGAATCCTGATCGGCGGCCTATGTTTCACGAGGAGTATGTAACTAAAGATCGGTTACCCAACTTCTTATTTACTTCTCCTAATCCATTACATGCACCATGTACAAATGATGTTAGGTTAGTTAACAAGGAAGAAATACACTCACTTTTCCATCGCGTTCATCTTTCGTCACATCGAAATTGGATATGGCTTTAAGCTTAAAAGGCATTCATAAATTCTAGAAGATGAAACATATAGTGTTCATGTAACTGTAATATTAAAAAACGAATAGACAGAAAAACCAACTAAGAAATAATACTATATTTTAAAATAACTTTAATAATATAGATACAAAATGACATGAACAGCGCGATAATTTTATTTAGATCTCGTTGTAATAGCTCCGACTACAGAATCACTTCCAGATGAATGACGATGTTTACGAGGCAGTGGACTAGAAGGAGATGAACCCTGAAAAAATGATAGAAACAGAAATATAGGGCTTTATAAACAAAAGAAAACAGATGTCCTAAAAATATGATTAAAAACAGTGATTTTATCCATACTTTATAGGAACACTGAAAAGTTTGTAAGAACAGCTTGACAAAAATTGGACATCACGTACACAGACGCAAAATTGTTAGGATGACTTCTACTCTCACTATATACAAAATCAATACAAATAGAATTGAAGAACTTTTAAGTATAAAATTGTTTCCGAATATAATAATCTTTGATAATCATGATTATTTGATGAAGCTTGGGTTAGATTGACAAGCGAAAAGCTTGTACTATTTAAATTTTAATCTCTCCGATAATTACAAAACTAATAAAATCCTGAAATTTTTTAAAAGAATGGTTATTGAGGACGAGACAGCTTAAGATAAATTAGCATTCAAGTGAATTTCTGATTACCTTAAACTAACTTTCGCATCGTTAATAAATATGATTCATGTGTCATGAGAATTTCATTTTGTACAGATTTAGTCGAATGGTGATCAAAACATCAACATATGTGAAAAGTTTAAATAAATAACTAAAACTTAAGTTTCTTACTAGCACTTTTTAGCAACAAATTTCTGTGCATGAAATTGAATTCAGTATACTAATGAAGACGAACTTATTTAATCATCACATGTCTTGTTGATAATTATGGAAAGAGATGAAGCTTTTACAAGCCGTTTAATTAGGAGGTAAGCTCTATGGTGCAATAATTATTTCTGTCCGTGTTGGGGTATTCGGAAAATACCCCAGAAATTATCTAATGCTATTCCTGAATGAGATATAGTGTCATTTCCCCATTGGTCAACATTCTCCCAACGTGTCATCTCCTTATTGGTCAATATTTATTTGTGTCATTTCCTGAAGGTTAAATCTTGTACAAATGTTACTTTCTATTTTATGGTACGATGTAGTCTGTTTGTTTGGTATATAAACAGTGTATGTTTGAAATATAACGATTCATATATCCGAGGCTGAGACTTTTGTTCTGGACTCAATTGGCTGGGCTAGACAGGGAAGCAAGACCAATCAGAGCTCTAGGCTGCTCGGTCGCATTTTGTGCGTCACTGTTTCGATCGATAATAGGCTGCTCTCTAATAGGCGGATCACACGTTATAACAGTCCGGGCATCTTGAGTACACAACTTTACGATCCTATTGAAGTGACTACGAAACATTAGCTATACTAGATTAATGCCAAAAAAGACAACTGCAGAGTATTTTTTGAGAATCAGTTTACTTGTTAGGTACATGTGAAATTGATATTTCAAATACTAATTGTATGTATCGCAAACGAACTTTCGATAATCAAATTGCCATCTAAACTATGTGAGGAATGAGTCTTCTTAATCCATACCTTTCATACAAAAAATAGTTGTCCGAATTTAGAGGATAATTTCAGTTGTCTACTCAGTGACTCTCGAAATCAGATTTCGAGTCCAAGGACATAGATTCAGATAATGCTTAGGTCCTCCCATGCCAAACAGGTCGGTTGGAGAATTTTAGGGCCGAGGGTGAAGTTGTACTGCTAACTGCAAAGAGGTGTGACAAGAGAAAGGCATTTCCCTCGGACAAACAGCATCTGCGGCGACGCGACCTTTTCACAATGAAAGGAAAGGTTTAAAAATGTCTATTCATAAAGCGTTGCACATCACCTTACTCAGACCACCGGTGCTAAGGCATTTCCAATTGCAGAGCTAGCTCATCAAAAACTTCGCATTTGAGCTTACGAAATATTATTACCAGTCTTCTGAAGCCACACTCTAGCCTAGATTTTGGGGATTTTAATATTCGAACCTTGTGTCAGATAAGACAACATGCTTCTTTAGCGAAGACTCGCACTATCGACATATACTGCGTCTCGGAAACGTGCAAACGGGTTTCAAGAACGGTCACACGTTTGACCACACCTTTTTAAATATAAAGAACAAGGACGATTTACTCTTCTAATATCTGGAGACCTCATTGCTACTACCCATGGCCTTTCTTGTGTAGGCACAGAATTAAGTTCTGAGGCAGAACGAGCTCATATAGACTGGGTTCAAATAGGCAGTCGCTTGTACTCTGTTCGACTAAACAGGACCGTAAGAACCCGAAAACATAGGGACACGCCCTTGCGTTTTTGTTGTCACTGTCTACGCTCCCACTGACTGCACCTCAAAAGAAACTAAAGATGAATTTTGTAGAAAGCAATCCGGCCTGTTTTTAAAAGCTAAACTCTCTGATGTAGTAATAGTTGGAGGTGATTTTATTACTCAAGCAGGTAAATTAAACTAAACCGAAAGACAGAAGCAGATCTGACAGTGTTGAGGCTCAGAGAACAGATGATGGCGACCGTCTGTTGCAACTGTGCTTAGATAACTATCTATTTATGGTAAAACATCATCTAATGTGGTGACTTCAACAATCGATTCATTGATAGACTCCAATAGACTATAGCAACTCACGTGCAATTGAGTTTATTTATATTTAATTTGGTCAAGCCTTTTTGTTAACTTATTTAACGGATAGAGTCATTCGTACAATAACAACTTATCTATATCATTATACCTCTATTATTGTTACACTTGTATGAATATGTATGCTTGAGCATTGGTTACTGTCTAGGCATATATTCATTCTGCTAGTCTTAACATTAGTTGTTTAATTGATTCTCTCTGTCTCGCTCATTCAACTCGCTTGCCTGCTAGCTTTTCGGCACTACTCTTTCATGCTTGCTTAACGTACATGAAAATCTGGATATTTGTGTGGTCCAGTAATAAACATAATCAACACTTCGTATTCGCCCTCTGATTAACATACCGTTGGGGCGTTATCTAGTGACGGTTACCAAGACGAACTGTATACGAAGTTTAAGGATTATACTGAATACTGACGACCACAGAATTGGTGATCTCAACGTGTGAGCAAGAAACAAACTTAGTAGATATAATCTAACAACGAAAATCCAATGCACTCTATTTCAAGTTGGATTATCACCTGGATTATAATCATAATTGTGGATTTATATCACTATTTCAATTATACGTACATTATCTCACAAACATTATTGAACATAACGATAATATTCACAATAAACGACATTTTATAAACAATTGATATATTGGTGCAATTTAGTAAGTCCGTCGTAATTCCGTTACAGAAATTGTTGTACATAATCTCTTCTAATGAATACGTGAGTACTATTATATAGTTCCTGCAGTATGAACACTCGTCGTTGTTGTAGTCTGTGAAGTATTGTTTTTAAATCGTTTAAGTTCTTTAAAGGGTTGCACGTAGTTGGCTACATCAGTCGGAACACCTTTACATGAAGCAAAAAATTCTCCGGGTAAACGTAGAGTAGTTCCATATACCAACTCAGCTGGACAACATCCCATATCCTGTCTAACTGTTGTTCTTAAACCCAACATAACTAAAGGAAGCTTATTAGCCCAATCGTTGTTGACAATGACAGATGTCAGGAACGCTTTTAACTGTCTAGACAGGCGTTCAACCATTCCGTTTGCCATTGGATGGTAGGACGTCGTTCGAATACGTTTAATTCCGAGGGGTTCTATAAGCTGCTGGAAGAGTCGACTTTTAAATTGGGTTCCTCTATCGGTTGTGATAACTGATGGTACGCCATTGCAAGAAATCCAATTTTCGACTAGGGTTTTGGCTACGGACTCGGCTGAGGTGTCGTTTATCGGTAACGCTATAGGCCATCGTGTAAATCTATCGATTAATGTAAAAATATAGTTGTATCCATTTGAAACTGGCAGTGGTCCTGTTAAACCGTGTTCTGATTTGGGGACTTGTCGAGTGAATTGGTGTCTGATAATACTAAGCAATAGGAATGGCTGGGTTATAACCGTAAGAGAGAATTATAACAGTGGCGACGAGGAAAAAGGAAAATAAACTCAAGATGTCCATATCAGATGACCAGCTTAACCGAATACTACAACAACAGCAAGCACAATTAGATGCACAAATGCGGTTGTTGGAGACTCTGATTCAACAGCTTAACATCCACTGCCCAAGTTCACATGATATTTCAAGTACGTCTTGTGATGCAGTTGCTAGCAACATCCCAGAATTCGTCTATGATCCGGAAAGCGGAAATACTTTTCTCACGTGGTTCAAACGTTGGGAAGATACATTTAGAATAGAATACTGTAACCAAGACGACGCGTGGAAGACTCGATTGTTGGTACGTAAGTTGGGAAGCAATGAACATGCACGTTATGCTGACCATATATTGCCAAAGTTACCTTGAGAGCTCAGTTTCGAGGAGACGGTAATTCAATTGTCAGAGATATTCGGTGAATCATCTGCATTGTTTAGTATTCGACATCAGTGTCTAAATTTGGTGAAAGGAGAAGCCGATGAATATAGTGTTCTAGCAGACATCGTCAACAGAGAATGTGAACGGTTCAAGTTACGCTTGTTGACAGAAGACAGAAGCCGATAACAACTCGTAACAAACTAACGACTGCAAGTTGATTATGTGGTGATCGGCATTATGTACGATTCGGTTCATTTAAGAAGCATAAATATCAGATGTGCAACAAGCGTGGACATAAAGAAGGTCATTGTCCACCGAATCGTACGTCTCATCCCAAAAAGAAGCATAAACGTCCTCGACATGTGAAATCAGCCGAGTCTAAATCTCTTTCTCTGGTAGCTGCCTTTTAAACAAACTATGACATTCGGAGAAAGTATGTTGCCAACCAGATAAACGACATATCAGCTCGTCTTCAAATTGGCACGGCATCAGATATCACCTTAATGTCTAGAGCAACGTATAACTTGCTGGGTAAACCGCCAATGAAGCCATCTAAGAAAACGGCTAAAAACGCATCAGGTGGTGTGCTAAAACTGGTTGGTGAATTACAGTGTGAATTTTCCTTCAATTGAACCAACTGTACAGGAATATGTTACCTAACAGAACGGCCAAACCTTGATCCTCTTGGTCTAGATATGTTAGATAAA